ACCCCTCCCCCTGACCGTGCAGCCCTCTGCTGGGGGCGCGTCACCCTGAGGTCACGAGGCCGGGGCTCCCCTCCTGGGAGGTCCCCCTGCTGCTCCCAAGGGGCTCAGCCCTTCTGTGAGTCCCCCCCGGCCCGTGGCTCCTCACACGCGGTGGCCCTGTCCTCTCTGTCCGGTGGCAGGAAGGAACGTCTGCTCCGTGCAGTCAGCCTGGCGTGGGCCCTGCCCCCGAGAGGCCCCAGAACCGTCCCTCTCACTGGTCCTGGCAGCGCCGCCTGCGTGCCCTTCCCGGCCAGTCGAGGACCAGGTGAGGCTCGGGGCGAAGACCTGAAGGTGTGGCTGGACCAGGGGGCCGGTCAGCTCAGCGCGAGACGGAGACAATCCTGGTGATCCGGGGGCCCAGTGTCATCACCCCTGATATGGGGAGGGGGCGGGAGGGGCCGGTCAGCTCAGTGTGAAATGGAGACGACCCTGGTGATCCAGGGGCCCAGTGTCATCACCCCTGGTATGGGGAGGGGGCGGGAGGGGGTGGTCAGCTCAGCATGAGACAGAGACGATCCTGGTGATCCGGGGGCCCAGTGTCATCACCCCTGATATGGGGAGGGGGTGGGAGGGGCTGATCAGCTCAGCGTGAGACAGAGACGATCCTGGTGATCCGGGGGCCCAGTGTCATCACCCCTGATATGGGGAGGGGGTGGGAGGGGCTGATCAGCTCAGCGTGAGACAGAGACGATCCTGGTGATCCGGGGGCCCAGNCTGGGCAGGGAGGACGTGGGGGTGGGGCTGTCAGAGGACCCAACGCGGGAGCTCCACGGGATGCTGCGGGGTCTGAAGGAAGATGGAGGGGCCGCGGACCGTGGGGCCAGCGACTCTAGAGCCAGGAGAGAGCAGATGGGCTCTGCCTGGAGCCCCAGGAGGAGCCGGTGCGGACAGAGAGAGCCTCGCCGGTCTGCGGGCAGATGGTGTGAGTGGGAGCATGTCAGCTCCTTCAGGAGGGCGTTGGCTGGCCACTCACGAGGGGCAGGACTCAGGAAAGGCTGTGGGGGGTGGTCTCTGGGAGAAGCTGGTCCAGGCCTCGCAGAAGTGAAGGCAGGAGCCCCAGGCAGGCGTTCAGAGGGGGTAACTCAGCCTGAGATGAGCAGCTCGCCTGTGGGCACGACAGTGGCCTGTGTGAGTGTGTCTGTGTGTCCCTGAGCGTGTGTCTATCACACAGTGTTGATGGTTTAAAGTAACAGAGATGTGTCCGGGCACAGTTTGGGGGCCAGGCGTCTGAAACAAAGCTATCATCAAGATAACAGAGTACAGGTCCAGAACCAGTGATGCCTGTGGCCACAGGCCAGGGTCTGAAGGCCCAGCGTGACCAGTGGACCAGGCTCTTCCTAAAGTGGGGATGGGGGTGTCCCTGGCTGAGCACTGCCCCCTGGTTCATGTGCATGGACCCAGTCAGGATGTCCAGATTCCCGTGAATCTCATTGAACTGTTTTTCTGTTTAAATCAGCTAGAGTCTATCCAGTATTTGTAGTTAGAAATCCTGACTGGTGGTCCAGTGGCTAAGACTCTGCCCTCCCAATGCAGGGGGGCTGGGTTCAATCCCTGGTCCTAGAACTAGATCCCACATGCTGCAACTAAGACCCATCAAAGCCAAATAATTGATGAACGTTGCTGTTGTTTGTGCTAAGTCGCCTCAGTCGTGTCTGACTCTTTGTGACCCCACGGACTGTACCTCGCCAGGCTCCTCCATCCATGGGGATTCTCCAGGCAAGAATACTGGAGTGGGTTGCCATGCCCTCCTCCAGGGGGTCTTCCCAACCCAGGGATTGAACCCGCGTCTCCTGCATCTCCTGCATTGGCAGGCGGGTTCTTTACCACCAGCGCCACCTGGGGAGGTGTTGTTTAGTTGTTAAAAATATATATATAAATAAATAACCACTGTGGCTTCTGTACCCAGAAGTCCGTGGCAGAACCAGCGCCCCCCATGTCCTTGGGCTGGGCCATCAGACAGAAGGACCGAGAGACAGCGCTCTTGTGAAGGGGAATAGGAAACCCAGGAGGGTGTGCTGAGAGCCTACAGCGCTTACCTGGCTTACCTGACCCACAAGAAGTGCAGACCGGGACTCGAGTCCATGACCGAGCTTGTTCTCCAGGTTTATTCCCTGCAGCCAAGAGATGGGAGCAACCCACCCTGAAGAGTGGGCAGCTGTACGTGGTCCAGCCACAGGGCTGTACCATCGTCCATGAAAGGAGCGCGGTCCTGCCACACCTGCCACACGGAGGAGCCTGAAACCTCACGCTGGGTGAAAGAGGCTCACGAAAGGCCACGCGTGATGTGACTTCTCTGATAAGAAACGCACAGAGGAGGCACACACATGGAGACAGAGAGCATCTCCGTGGGGGCAGCCAGGCACCTCCAGTGCCGTTTCCAGGATTCGGGGGGGGAGGAGGAAGAAGGGGTGATTGATTGCTCACAGGGTGAGGAACATTTCCAGGGTGATGAAAATGTCCTGGAATGAGGTGGTGGAGGGGGCGAGGCGGGGAGGCTGTGCCTGGAAGCAGGGGCGGGGCGCCTGGAGTGTCTGAGCTTTACGGGGAGCAAAGGTCCCACGACCTTTGCTCTCTGCCAGCCGCAGTGGCCTGGGCAGCCCACTACCTATGGGCTGACCCAAGAAGAAGAGGGGGTGGAGGTGGGCAAGCCCCGCAGGGCCAGCCCCCTGGGTGTGGGTCTCCTCCGCCTGCTGAGTGGACGGTGGGGCCTTGGACGTGCCATGGACGCCGACCCCGGTTTCCAGGGAGGAGAGCAGTGAGATCCAGAGGATTCTCCCCGACACCTTTGAACTAGACGTGCAGGTCGGGTTGCTCCTCCCACGGATGAAGTGCGGCTGTGTAGGTGGCCGGGAGTGGACACAGGCTGGCCGCCGCACGCGGGGTGTGGGTGGGAAGGAAGGGCTGGGTCTCCCCACCCCCGGGGGGGCCTCAGCGGCGAAGGGCAGTGGCCGGGGGACTGTGAGGGTCAGTCCAGCCCGTGGGGCTGGTGTTGTTTTGGTGCCACTCCTCAGCTTCCACCCCAGAGCAAGGTCCAGCTGGGGACGAGCCCAGTGGCTGATGCGGGACACAGCCGTCTGAGGTCCTCCTCGTCCCTCCCGCGGGATGTGAGCTTACAGGATTCTGTTCAGATCCTACGGCCCCCAGCTCATTTTGCCCTGACCTTCCTCCCTGCAGCCCCCGGGACAGCGCAAAGCTGGACCCCTCCAGGCAGGCCCAGGGTGGTTGAGGAATGGACGGCGCTGGGGCAGAGCTGGGCTTGGTTCCCAGACAGAGGAGAGCGTCTCCGTGTGGGCCCTGCGGCCTTTCCCCAGGAAGACAGACCCTGAAAACAGTCTCCATAGAAGCCGGAGCTGGACACAGGGCTCCCCAGCTCAGCCCAGGTTTCTCCCGGTGAGGTGGAGGGAGGCCTCCTGGGCAGGTCTAAGGAGGGCTGTCACCAGGCAGGTCCTCACACCCCCACCGCGAGTCTTACCCGTGAATATCAGGACACAGCCCTGGCCCTGCCAGCCCCCAGCCGCTTCTCTGCCTCCCAGGGGACAGCCAGGTCAGAGGGGACCCATCGCTTAGGGACAGGTCAGCACCAAGTGGACAAATGGTGCCGGGCCCGGATCCCAGGACAGGAGCCTGAGGACCAGGCAGCCTTCACCGTGACCCCAGGTCAGGCTCCTGGCGTGATGGCCTTGCACCGTTGCAGGGTCAGTGGGGCCAGGGGAGTTGTCCTGACAGGAAGTGGACATATGCCACCAGGGCCTGCGATGATCTGGGCCCCAGGAGCCCCCACACCAGTGAGAGGCTCACACCACGGGGGGATCTCTGCCAGTGTCTCCTTGTGAGGAAGGAACACAATGAGTGCCCGGAACCTGGTATCTCCGTGTGGGGCCTGCTGTGTCCAGGAGGGCCCAGGCGAGCTGGCCACCCCCACTGGGAAGCCACACTGACCCTGTGTGGAGGGACCCCTTGTCCCCAGTCTCCAGAGAGGCTGGACTAGGATCCTCCTCCCATCATGAGAAAGGAAACCACGGTCACCATCAGCGGGCTGTCAGGCGGCATGATGCCAGGCCCCAGGCGGATCTGGGGAGATGGCAGGTGGGCATCAGAAGAAGCGAGTAGGTCACTGCTGATGCGGTCCCCTCCCCAGGGCAGCGCCTGTGTGCAGCCTGGCCTGGGCGGGGCCAGGGGGGGACCGGCAGAGGCGTCCGGGTCCGTGGCCCAGTGTCCGGCCATCCCTGTCCTAGTGGCCCCCTCACTCCCACCTCGGCCTCCCTCCTGTGGGGGCCCAGGGGGGGCCGGGCAATCCCCACCTGCACATGTGTCCCCACCGGGGCCTGGGGTTGACCCCGCCACCTTCACACCCTCCCCCAACCACAGGACCACCCAATTCTCCACTCGTGGGCATCAGCCTCCTCCCTTAGCCACACAACCACCCAAACCTGTGCTCGTGGGCATCAGACCTGCAGAGACCCCCCCAGGACCTCCGGCAGAGCTGCCAGCACCCGCCTCTCCCCGGACCCCCAGGCCCATCAGACAGAGACACACACCACGGGGACCCAGGACACGAGCTGGTCCTCTGGTCCTTCCTGCAAGGCTTCCACCTCCCCGGCCTCCCCCCTCACCCCCGAGGGGCCCCACAGACAGGCCGAGCCACTGGAGACGCTGAAGCTTTTTATTTGAAGCCAGAAGAGGGGAGGGAGGGCTGGGGGAGAAGGGGGGAGGAATGCACCTTCCCGGGTGCACAGCTGGGCGGGCACAGACGTCCCGACTTACACAACAGTGAGCCCTGGGTGCAGAGGGCGCCTGACGTGCGGAGTGAAGCCCAGGAACAGACCCTGCAGGGTGGGCCCGGCCGGGGCCCCCAGAGCAGAGACGCCTCCTCCCGGCCACGCGGGGTCCCCCTGCCTGCCCTGGGGAGCCCAGTGGACCCGGACGCCCCACTGAACCAGGACACTTGACTGCTTCAAGGACCACTCACCCTAGTCACTTGCAGGCTCGCAGCTTTCTGTAGAGACCAAGACAAGCCCAGGAGTGAGAAGACGCCCCGCACAGCGTCCCAGACCCCTCACCGCCCGCAGCCCCGACATGGGTCACGGAGGCCCAGAGCGGGGCCCCTGGGCTCCCTGTGACCCATCACAGCGCTGACGGCTCCCCACGGAGGGGCTGGGGAAGGGCAGGAGAGGATGGAGGGAGGGACCCGGGGCGGGAAGAGGATGTAGAGAGGACCCGGGGGTGCCGCGGGCCGGCCCCTCACCCATCTGCTCAGGTGTGAAGATGTCCTCCGGGGACAAGCCCTTGCGCTGTGCGAATTTCTTAAAGGCCTCCAGGGCCGCTGGGCTCACGTCAGGATTTCTACCTGCAGGCCAGGCGCCCAGTGAGTCATGCCTTGGGAAACACCTGGGAGCAGGGTACTTCCCAGCACCGGGGAGGGCGCAGGGCAGGAGGGGTCCGTCTGGGGTGGGCGCCGAGCAGGTGCAGAGGAGACGGGCCCCTCCCAGCCAACAGGTCCCGGGGAAGGAGCGGGGGAGGCCCCAGGGGACACCTGAGTCCCTGGAGTCTCTGGGGGGACTCGGGCCGGATCCCAGAGCTCCCTGCAGGGTCAGGCCCCTGATCTGGAAGAGCTCCCCTTCCAGAGGAACCCTCTGACTAGAGCCTCCTGCACTTCACCCCCCATGAGTGTCCCTGCCCCTAGAATCCCTCCATCAGCGCCTCCTGCCTCCCCCACACTGACCAAGCCCTGGTCCAAGACCCCGGGAAGCAGGACTCTGCGTGTGCAGTGACCCCTGGGGGTGGTCAAGTCCCAGAAGAAGCCTGGACTGGCTTCCTGGGCCGTAAACTGTGCTGGGCGCACACGGACCACGTAGTCTGTATTCTGGAACCAGGAGTGGCTGATGCGGTTCCTCTGGCTTCTGGAGGCAGAGGCCGTGGGGCGGCTCAGGACACGGGGATCCGAGGGCAGGAGGGCGGAGCCTCACCTATGAGCTTCCCCACTTGGACTGATTTCCCCCGGAGCTGGCCTTGGCAGAAAAGGATGTAGTGGCCCTCAACGGGCAGTTCCAGGATGTGTATCTGCTTCTTGCCTCCATCTGCGGATGGACAGAGAAAATGCGTCTTGACTGTCTCAGTTCCTGGAGAACATACTGGAGACCACAGCAAGGAACATTCTGGACCATTCGGACTTCTAGACACCCTAGCCGTACTCAGCTCCCCCTCATCCAGGGACCCCATGGGCCTGTGTCCAGGACACGCTGCTGCCCCAACCAAGGCCCTAATCCTGGGGAGGAGCAGTCTCCTAGGAAAGTCTCAACCAGAGGTGTGGAGTCAGAGAGGCTGGAGGGCTTGGAGGCTGGGCCGGACCCTGCAGGCTCCAGCAGCTGCCCCGCCTGCCCCCCCATCCCGAGCCTTGCTTCCCCATGGGGTGGACAGCCAGGACCACCTGGAGGAAGCGGGGGCGGTTCCTTCATCCTGTTGTGGACAGACCTGTCCCATCTGGTGTCTGGTGTCAGGACAAGACCCCTGGGAAGGGAGGGGTGAGACTCTCTGAGTGGGGACAGGGCGGGGACCCTGGGCAGTGAGGCTGCCCACGGGGAGGGTGAGGCCGGGGCCGGGGCCCTGCTTGTGTGGCGTGGCTGGGCAGGGACTTACTGGCGCTGTATTTGCCAGGCTCCCCGGTCGGCTGCATCCTTGTTATCTTCTCATGGCACTGGTCCTCCTTCCTGGGACACACGAGGAGCAAGGGAGCCACGCTCCGCAATCATGCCTGGGCACACCCGAGCTGGCCTGGCACGTGGGCCTCTTGCCCAGCGTCCCCCAAATGGCACCGTCAACCCCCACCACCCAGGACTCTTTCCCCTCGAGGTCCAGGGGACGTGCATCTTAGCAAGCACCCCAACCTGGGGTGGGAAGAGGTGTCCTGAGGGGCTGGCCCCAGGCCACCCTCGGCCCATTTTGGGGGAGGGGAGGGGACAGCAGGACCAGCGATGGTGGGGGGATGTGGGGGGTGGCACCACGCACATTAAGGTGAACCTGATTTCCAGGTCCCCGCCGCCCAGGGCCGTCAAGGTCACAGGGGATGACTTCCTGGGCCTCGGCTCCTTAGGCATGTTCTTGTCGATCACCACGGCCTTCACATACCACGTCCCTGCGATCTGAGTGAGACGGGGCCGTGAGCCCCCAGCACGGGGCGCCCACCACCTGCCTCCCCCAGGGCAGGCTGGGGTCCAGCACGTCTGCACCCTGGGTGTCGGTCAGAACAGCCTGGCGTGCAGGGCTCCCGGTGCTAGACAGAGGCAGGATGCCCGTCGTCTTCGGGGAGCAGGTTCCACACCCAACACGTCTCCTCTGCGGAGGGCACAGCCGGGCCGTCGGGGGTCCCAGGAGTCGCTTCCCTGGGCCCTGAGCTGGAGCTGCTCCCCCGGCAGCCCTGGGCTGGGCAGGGGCCTGACAGAGTCGAACAGAGAGCCCCCTGCTCCCCGACCCTTTCCTGCGGGGAGCCCGGGGCCAGAGCCCACCTCCTGAGACGGGCCTGGTCATGTGGCCCCCAGGGTCACTGCCTTCCCCTCCACCAGGCTCACCTGCTGGGGCTCCAGAGGGCAGGATGGGGGTTCCTGGGCCCGCAGGGCGGTGAGCAGGCTGAGGGCGATGGGCAGGAGCAGGAGCAGGGCCTTCATCTCCGGGGCTTTGGGCTCCCAGCTGCCGGCGGGTCCAGGGGTCCGAGGGAGGTTGTGCCGGCTCCATACGTGGCGGCTGTTTATACCCGGAGTGCCTGGCACGGACCCTGCCCCGCCCACCCAGCACCGCGGCCCAGTCCTCATGGGGGGGGCGGGGGCAAGGGGGCGTGTGCTCAGCGCTGGAGTCTGAGGAGCAGCTGTTGGATGCCTCAGAGTAAAGGACGCGTAGTGCTGTCCCGGGTCCGCCTCCCGAGAGTGCTGGCTCACAGACAGCCACCCGGAGGACAGAGGCAGCCGGGGGTGGGGGCGAGGGGGTCGTGCATGTCTCTGCCCTGAGCCCAGACAGAAGGTCAAGGCTTCCTCCCCTCCTCCACCGCGCCCCTCCCGGAGCCCTGGGCTGGGATCTTAGGCGAGTGCTCCGGGAGCCCGCCAAAGGGACTGAGATTCAGAAGGGATGCGTGGGGTGTGATTGGTGGAGTCCCAGGGCCCCCAGAGCCGAATTCTCACCCGCCTGGCACCCCTGCCCTGGCTGGTCCCAGGCCTGGGATGCAAACCCCGGGTCCTCGTGGGGCTGGGGGCACTGGCTTATGACCTGGGGTCAGTCTGGATATCCCCTCTTCAGAGAGTGTCCCCCAGGGGCCCCGGAGGAGGAACCCGGCCTCCCAGCTCCTCATTCTGGACCCCGAGGCGGGGCTGGGTTTCCAGGCAAATGCGTGCTGTCCTCCCAGTGGGGCCTCTCGTTTCTGTGCATGTGGGCTCACCGCCCGTCTGCCCTGCTGCACCTGCAGCTCCCCAAAGTAGGGGCTCCGGCCACACGGTAGGCGGTCCCTGGATGTTTGTGGCTAAAAGAATAAACTAGTGGCTGGGTCTCTGGGGCCTCAGAGGATCCCTCTCCGAGGGGAACCCACACTTCTGTGGCTCTGGGTCCCGTGAGCCTTGGGAGGACCCATGAGTGCCGGCCCCTGGGCACGTAGGAGGCTCAGCGAACCTGGGCTCTGCCTTGCCTCCTGGAGTGGGACCCACATTCCCTGACTTCTTTCATTCTTCCAGAACCCCACCCACCCCGGAACTTCCCCTGTCCCGTCAGCTTTGACTCCTGTGTCCCCCCATGACAGGCCTCGCAGCCTATTCCATTTGGATAAACAGGCTGAGCGAGGTGCAGACTGGCCACACGCGGGCTGGTGCTCAGAGGCCCAGGCTGAGCCTTCCTACACCCGGCTCCGTTAGCCTCAGCACCAGCTGCCCCCCAACAAGATCCTGGCCTCCCTGCTCCCTGACCGTGTGGGTCCTGGGTCTGAGTCACCCTCTCTGAGACCCACGCTGACCCAGGGCCCTGCAGGCAGGTGCTGGGGACACACAATGGAGTCTTTGTGCCTTGTTGGCCCGAGGTTGGACGCGGCTGTAGATGGTCCGCCCCAAGTACTGGCTCAATAATAATAATCGGCCTCTCCATAACCCCCGGGGGCCGCACTGAAGGTGCTGGCGGGACCTAGTAATTACCGTATCTGGGAAGGAACTGCTGAGAAGGAAGCCCACCCTCCCTGGGAGCAGGAAAGGGTGGGGTCCTTATTAAGGGCCTGTTCCCTGTTCTCCTGGACGTTCCCCAGGGAACTTGGATCTGGGTTATTACGTGGGAGTCCCTGATTTGAGCGTTTATGACAGTGAGACTTCATTCAGGCCTTGAGGAAACCCTGGACACAGGCAGGTCTCCTGGGGAGAACAGGGTGCCCGCTCCCGCCCTCTGCGGGGTGCGATCCAAGCCCTCCAGGCCCTCCGGCCCTCCACCACGGCCTTGTGCCCCGGCGGCGGAACCCTGCCCAGGTGTCCAGCTGTGTTCTTCCTGGATCCTGGAGGGGCGTGCACGGGGGTGGGAGAGGAGGCTGGCCGCGGGGCTGCGGCCAGCTCTGCTCACCACCCCTTGACAGCATCTCAGGGACTGTGGTCAGTGCCGCCCCGAAGCTTCGGTTCCAGAACTGACCAGAGTGGATGTAATGGGAAACCTGAGCACATCGGAGCAGGGCGCGCGGTGGACTGTGGGACGGAGCTGATGGCCACCCTGCAGCCGGAGTGTGTGGCTCCTGCATGCAGATGGGACCCCGGCTTCCCACCTCCACTGCCCGCCCCTCTGGGCCTCCCCGATACACATGGGTCATAGCTGATGTGCAGGTGAATAAACATGCCCAGTCTGCACGGAGCAGACCTCGGGCTACATACCCTGGGCTCCTCATTCCCCAGTGGGACAATCTGATGTGATCCCACCCATTTCTCAGAGGTCCTCAGGAAGACTGAGTCCCAGTTGCCCACAGTGATGACCTTCTCATTAAAACTCTTTATTGCGTTTCTACCTCCCCATCTGGGCTTCCCTCATAGCTCAGTTGATAAGGAATCTGCCTGCAATGCAGGAGACCCTGGTTCAACTTCAAGGTCGGGAAGATCCGCTGGAAAAAGGATAGGCTACCCACTCCAGTATTCCTGGGCTTCTCTGGTGGCTCAGCGGGTAAAGAATCCATCTGCAATGCGGGAGACCTGGGTTCCATCCCTGGGTTGGGAAGATCTTCTGGAGAAGGGAAAGGCTATCCACTTAAATATTCTAGCCTGGAGAATTCCATGGACATAGAGTCTATGGAGTTGCAAAGAGTCAGATACAACTGAGCGAGTTTCACTTTCACTTTCACCTCCCCATTTCAACTGACCTCAGATTTCTGGCTTCTAGAACTGAGAGAATGGAATTTCTCTGTTTATGCTGCAGAGTTTGTGGCACTTTGTTACAGAAACTCTAGGAAACTGACACAAGCTCTACCAGTAAATGTTCTGTCAAAATATAAGTGGACTAAATATGCAAAGTAAAAGAGATTGCCAGGGTGGGGTAAAAGTCATGATACAGCTACATGCTGTTTTCCAAAACCTACTTCAAATGTAAAGTAGTTGGAAGTGAAAATGCAGAAAAGAGTAAAATGATTAGGACAGCTAACTGATCCCAGTGCCAGCTGCGAGTGGACTGCCTCTGTCACCCACATCAGCCTGCCGTCCCCCGCTGCGGGCTCTGCAGTGACGGAGCTGGGCCAGTGGGCATTCCTCCTGCTCTGCTGGTAGGAGGCTGAGGATGCAGGGGCTTCCTTCCTGGTTCCAGGGTGCTTCTATCTGATCCTTTTTCTTTCTCCTGCTCTACGGCTAACGGTGGCACCTGGAGGGGATGTCCACAGCCACTCACCACACTGAATACGGGGGATGCCCCCCTGTATTCAGTGGCACCCCCCCCAGTGGGCTCCCAGTGAGTCCTGTAGGCACTCCAGCCTATCCCCTGGGAGGGGAGAGGGCCCTCCTGCTTGCTGGTCTCAGCCTGCATTTCCCTGCCTGCTGGCCTCCGCCCAGACTGTGAGCCAGCTCTGGTCCAGGGCAACCCAGCAACTTCTCCATCCTTTGGGTTGCATGCTCCCTTCTCCCACAAGGTTGGGCCCCAGCCCTGGGGAGGGGGCTCCCCAAGATTTGGTTCTTCTTTAGCTACTCTGCTTCAATGCCGGGCTATGCTTCATGGTTCTTTTTTATTTATTTACTTTATTTAACACCAAAAGCATTTTGTATTGGGGTATAGTGAATTAACAGTGTTGTGATAGTTTCAGGTGAACTGTGGAGGGACTCAGCCGTACATATACGTGTATCCAATCTCCCCCAAACTCTGCTCCCATCCAGGGTACACTTCATGGTTCTTTATAGTTAGTTGTTCATTCTACAGACCATCTCTTCTCAGTCTATTGTATGGCTTCTGTATCCTGATTGAAGGCTGATTCATATAATTATATATTATTTCAAGAGGTGATAAGTTCTAAGGGGAACAAGTGGAGCTGGAAGTGTGGGGACAAGAGGGTAGTTTACACTTTAAGTGGCAGGTCCGAGACAGCACAGGGACCTTTGCACACAGAATAAAGATATTGGAGGAAACGAGCCATGAAATCACTAGGTGGAGAAGCTTCCAGGTGGAAAGATCACCCAGGGCCCGTGTTCAGTGGGCGAGGATTGGGCGTGTGTCAGGGACACACAGGAGGGCAGAGGGCTGGAGCAAACGACACCTGGACGACGTGGAAGCCGGAGCGGGGAAGGGCTTGGAGTGGGGAAGGGCTCGGCCTGATGGCGTCGGGTGTGCCGGCCACCACTCGGACCTCATCATTTACCCCGAGGAGCGGAGAGCCGACAGAGACATTTTACAAAGTCAGAGAGTGACCTTTGGATTCAAAGGGTCACTTCAATTGCCTCCTTGAGGGTAGAATTTGTGAAGGGGGCTGGCAGAGAACAAAGGCATAAAGGCAGAGAAATCAGTCAGAAAGATGCTGCTTGTAATCCCGGCCAGAAGGGAAATGCACTGAGGTCTACCCAGCCATCAGGGAATCACAGGTGTGCACTTACATACCCACCGTGAACGAACAGAAAACCGGTCAAATGTGTGAGAGTCTGTTTGTAGATGTTGGCCCACAGGGAATGCAAGGCTGCGATCCCTGGGAGGGAAACAAGTGAGGCGCGCCATTATCCCTGCAGCTCTGAGTCAGATGGGAGATCCAGCACTACAGCCGGGGAGGGGATGGAGGCGGAGCACAGCACAGACCAGGGTCTGGGGCATCTGAGATCGGTCCTGGGTGTTCATCGGAAGGACTAATGTTGAAGCTGAAACTCCAATATTTTGGCCACCTGATGCGAAGAGTAGACTCATTGGAAAAGACCCTGATGCTGGGTGGGACTGGGGGCAGGAGGAGAAGGGGATGACAGAGGATGAGATGGCTGGATGTGAGTAAACTCCAGGAGTTGGTGATGGACAGGGAGGCCTGGTGTGCTGCGGTCCATGGGGTCACAAAGAGTCAGACACAACTGAGCAACTGAACTGAACTGAACTGAAGCCTACATTAACATGTCATAATCACCCGAAGTCTATAGCTTGCCTTCGGGTTCACTCTTGGTGTTTGGACAAATGTATGGTGTATATCCATCACTAAGGTATCATGCAGCCTATTTTCAACGCCCTCAACATCCTCCCGGCTCCTGCCCCCACCAGTCTTTGGCAATCACTAATCGTTTTATCATCTCCCTGATTTTACCTTTTCCAGAATGTCATATCGATGGAATCAAAGTGTGTACCCTTTCAGAGAGGTTTGTGT